AATCACGACAATATTTATACTTATAAGGTCGCGCACGACAACAATATCAAGTGTCATTTAACACGCGAACACGCGTCTACTCATACATATATATATACCCTGACGTTCCTCTCCATAGCGCATGTATCTCTCCTCCAAAGCGCAAATACAACATTATCAAGTTAATACAGTCAAAGCTCGGAAAACCGATAAATGCCAAAACCGATAATTTTTCTAATCCTCAAACGAGAGATACCTAGTAGATGATCAACATCAAGAATCCATCAACAGTGCAATGATTCATTATCATATCAAACACACTCTTAAAAGCGAACATATCCTCTTTTCCAACTATATTTGTATGGCAAATTTACAAGGACTAGACAATTGGCTAAACGACTCGCACGAACCACGCCTATGTTATTTACTTATTGCAAACTTATTGCCCAACAACAAAGAAAACGACAAATCTGCGAATACATGTTCCAATCACAAAATCTTCTACAATGACATCATTCTCTATACCGTACAAATGGAGCCATATATTTTCGAACTTCCCAGGTCAAGATGATGGCAAGCTGCCACCTGATCCCATAGAAAGATTTCAGCAATGTCAGATAATCAAAAACTTGGCCTGCTGGATGGAACAAGTGATAGCAGATTTTATAATTCCGTTCAGGTATCTAGCTTTTATGGGTTTTGTGTGAAAAAAAATTGTTAAAAAAGTTTTTATGTGAAAAATATTAACAAAAATCCAAAACCTTCCCAAACTGACTTAGTATTGTGTAAGTCAGAGTACTATCTCTGATATTCTGTCAAATGAGGAGAAATGGGCTCTCAATAGATATAGCTTCACAAGAAAAAAACTTGTCAAGCTTTCCCCTACATTGGAAGAAGCCCTATCAAGGTAGAAACTTCAAAGGTGCTGCATTGACGATTTGACATAAAATAGACGATTATAACAAGAATAATGTGAATAAAATTCTTCATGTAAAAATAGAACCCATGGGAGGGGTTTCTACTGTCCTTTTTGAAGATGGTTATGTGGCTCACTCAAGCATTACAAGAAAACTTAACCATCAATAGAGATATCATAAAGCAAAAGCATGTGCCTTTAGGGATAATCTTAGAATCCAAAACTTCAAAGCATAACTAGATATAGTGGGGAGCCTAAGATCTGTTATCAGTCACTGGACATTGGAATTGACTTACAAGATCATATAAGGTTACACGAATTTTATTATTTGTTTTGATGTTGACA